GTCTTTTTTGGGGGGGGGGGGGGGGGGGGGGGGGCGTACTCTTATGTTTTGCATGCCTTAGCGGTTAGACCATTGACCACGCGTCCTCGAGAGGACGGAGCATTGTTCCCACAGGACCGATCACCGATGGCCAATCGTTCCTTCCTACTTTGCCAAAGGTGGCTCAAAAATGTCTTCCCTAGTTTGTCTATCCTACCGATGTCCCTTCCCGCCTTTTCAAACCACTTTCTACTCCCCAGTACCGCTACCGTCCTCTCCTCTCTATTCCATGCCTCAAACATCTCCCTGTACGTCCCTTGTATTTTTCCCAGCTCAGTCATGTACACTTCCCTCTCCTCTTCGTACCACGGACATTCCGCGATTCTGTGTGGGGGGGTGTTATCTTGTGTCGTCTACAGTACATACCACATGCATAACCACCGTGACGGTAACATATACGTCGTCTAGATTGTACTACTCAAACTGGCAGAAGTTATGGGTGTTCCCACACGGAGAGGCGTACAAAACGCATCAACGGCACAACCGCAGCCATCCAATGAGACGAACGATGTTGGTAAAATTCTTACAAAAAAAAAAATTATGCCGAACAAACGTAGCTGTAAGGCTGCGTCTTACGGTGTGATTATTTCAGAGATTTTTTTTTCTCTCGGGGGGGGCGGGGGGGGGGGTGGGGGTGGCCTGCACGGAAAAAATTATCAAGATCCAAACGACCGTCTTACGGTTCCTCGAGGTATATTTTTTTCTGGAGGGAAAAAAGAGAAAAAGAGGCTGATTTATGTTCCTGTGAGTCACAACATGCTTCAGTACACGGTTTTGGCTCGTGTGCGACCAACAAGACACCGAGCGCCCTGTTTATGGGTCGCCTGTAAAGGGCATGTGTATCATCGCACGCCAGTGGCTGCAGTTTGTGGATGTCGTCGGCCAAAGGCCTTTCTCTGATGGCATGCGTTGTACACTGATCACACTCGACTCGGAGCAAGCGGCAGAAAAAAAAAGCAACGTCCAAAAAAGGCAACACCGAACCACACCTCGATTCACGTTTGCAGGCCGTGTGCAATCAAAACTGAACAATACGCTCTGTTTCTGGGACGCAAGCAGAGGGTATGTGTATGACCACACGCCACTGGCTGCTGTTTGTGGATGTCGTCGGCCAAAGGCCTCTCTCTGGCATGCGTTTTTGACTGGTCGCGGGTGACACACGGAGCAAACACGCGGCGGAACAAGAAAAAATACCGAAAAGTCAACACCGCAACACACTTTGGTTCACGTTTGCAGGCCGTGTGCAATCAAAACTGGACAACGCGCTCTGTTTCTGGTACGCGAGCAGAGGGCATGAGTATAAACACACGCCATTGACTGCAGTTTGTGGATGCCGACGGGTTAAGGCCTCTCTCTGGCATGCGTTTTGAACTGGTCACACATGCAGCAGGCGCAAAAACGGCTCTTTTCGGCCCAAAGGCAAGAACGTCAGCAGAGCAATGTGGCAGGGTTGACGTTTTCGGCTCGTGTGCGGCCAACACGACGTAGAACGCCCTGAATTTTAGATACCTGCAGAGGGTTTGTGCATGACCTCATGATACTGGCCCCTGTTTGGCCAGCAGACGATGTAGTTCCTCGTTCTGGCACGATCGGGGTGTGACCAGGGGGTACCCCCCCCCATTTCTAACAGCGATTTTCCAACAGGATCGCTGTTGGAAAATGGGCCAATTTTCTAACAAGCCGGCCGGAATCGCTGTTGGAAACTGCGCTGTTGGATTTTGGGCTGTTGGAAAATGCCATTTTCCTACCCGTGCCCAAATTATTTGTTTGGCTCAGAAAAGGACCCCCCCCCATATCCAATCCGGAAATATACTAATCACACCGTAAGACTCAGCCTAAACCTGATGTTGTCGCACGTATTGGATCGACTGCTGACTCCCTTTTCTGTTGGCGCCGGTATGTAGCACCTCAATCAACTGTCACCCTCCCGGTGAAGGGAGTGATTCTATGTGTACCGAGAAGTACTGTAGATGCATCTCGCTGCTTCTGCATGTTAGACTGCCGTGCACAACAACACTCGTGAAAACGCTGCTGTTGTCCTACATGGATCACTTGTGCGATATAGCAGTTCGTTCCATTGGACTACGTGATACTCAGCGTCATACATTGCTTGTGGCCCAGATTTGCTGGAGTATCTTGGATGGGAGAGGACGGATTACTGCTGTGCTGTGCTCCTAAAGTGTACCACTCGTAAGGGGTGGATTTTCGAACTGCGCCAACACATGTACATGTTGCCTGCTCTTCCCTCACAAAGCGTGGTGAACGCGCGAGAGTGAATCAAATCTCTCTCCCCTGACACAACAGTCGGGAAATCTCCGCGCTGTCATGATAACGTTTAGTGGCGTCGCCGTTGTGGTGGTAAAGTGGTAGCCTCGCGGTAGCAGTGTGGTATGTAGAGTTAGTTAGAAAACGATCCGACAGCTTCTTCCACGCCGACTTCGTCGACCCCTCTCACCTCTTGTTGTATTTCAATGTGCTGGGATCTGCTCGCCCCACCCAAAGACTCTCGCCTTGGCCCAAGGTTCTGTCTCCGAGGATCCCACCGTTTCCGGCGAGTGTCGCCGTGGACTCACTGTGCGGGGGCGCAGCTCGCAGGACTGAGAAGCATCCTGATGTACCAGAGAGAGCCCTGGGCCCTTCTTGTGCCTTCTGGTCGGCCGAAATACCCCCCGAAGTTCCCCCATCTGCAGGCCCCCCAGGTTCTGTTTGCTGTTTACGGTTTATGGTTCCAAAGCATGGTTCTGTACCGCACACCCACCACCCACCTACAACATACAACATACAACCATACCACACCGCACACTCTCAGGGTCTAGACACACGACCCTGCACCACTGAGGTCCACGCTGCTCACTCTCAAGCACAGCTGCCCGCGAACGCCTTCTCCATATCTCTCTCTGTCTCTGTCTCTCTGTAGGGAAATCACCGAGATGGGGTCCTCAACGCCCATGCATGCGATGCTACGCATCGTCGTTTTGTTTGTCGGGGCTCCAGCGGCTGTGGAAGGGCTAGCCGCCAAAGGCGTCTATTATTTTGACGACGAATGCGGTCAAGGCCAAGAGACGGGAACCTACTATCTTGCGTTTGGCTCCTACAACCCTGACCCGGAATCGAACACAAGTTCCCGAGGTGAGCGAAAGAATTGTGCCGGGTCCGCCCGGGATAATTCAAACTCCGACTATCACACAAGCTACCTCACTCAGTATCTCACCACGATGGGGGGTCTGTCGCCATAATAAATGGGACGAAAAAAAACACCAGTACTATGTAGAGGTTAAGGATTGGCCCCCCGCCCCCCAATGGGGTGAGCGGCCACATCGAGATGGATGACGGTGAGGGTTTTGGAGGAAGTTAAGAATATGAAGATGGAAGACGACACGGTAGGAGTGGCAAGAAGGGACGGTGTATGGACACGCAATGAAGACGCGAAGACGTTGGCGAAGAGCGAGAGGGCACAGGATGGAATTGGTAGCGGTCTCCGAGATTGACGCAGCAGCGAAAAAGCAGTGATGAAATGAGATTACAGACAGGAATGGTCGTGGTCGACCGTCGTTTCACTAGAAAATAGGGTACCCTCAATTTGTTTTTATCTAGAAACAGCTAGCCTCGAAAATATAGACTAGAGTCCCCAAAAAAACATTTCCTGCACAACATATGCATACACGTTCAGCCAAGCGCTTCTTAAATGATAAAGGCCGACACACGTCGCAAATGATTGACAGCAACGACCATAGAGCATACCGTACACGTCAGCCTAGCGCAAGCCAATTAGGGGTAGTGCAGGTAGCTGCAGGTAGTTGGTGCAGCTATATGGCTGGTGGGGCAATTTATGTTATCAGCTGCCGCCCCAACCTCTGTCCCACTGGTGGGGTACATAGCCTTTGAATACCCCGCCAGCTGCATGTCGCCCTCAAAGTCTCCAATTGACACACAAGCACCGGTAGTGTTTGGTACATTCATGCGCAGCGCACAGCAGCGGACAGCAGGTCAGGTGGCGAGCGGGTCAAGAATTCCCGCCACACAGCTCCAAACACGTCAGTCAGGTGGGAATCGAACACAGCCTTCTCTCTTCCTGCAGGCAGACTTCCTTAAAACAACATGAGAATCCCACTATATCTAACCCTACAAGACTCCAATCGACACACCAGCACCGGTAGGAGTGTTCGGTACATGCACACACAGCACACAGCAGCGGGCAGCAGGTCGGGTGGCGAGCACATCAAGTATTCCCGCCACACAGCTCCAAACCTAAACACGTCAAGTGGAATGGTCTACACGCCGAACGCTGTTTCTATCTTGTTGCAGGCAGACTTCCTTCAACACCGCGAAAATCCCACTGCTGCATCTCGAGCATTCAAATATGGTTCGTCGTCGCAGAAGGTATCCCATCCAGTCCTGGTCGTTGCCGTATGCGAACGTTGTTCGGTGCCTGGTCCACACTGCTGTAGTACTTTAGCCAAAAACAAAATCCGAGCCACATATTTTTTTATCCCATACTAATAGCAAGAAATGTGTCACGTCACGACGACCATCCTGTGAGTATGTAGATAACGTGATCCAGCAGTGTCCAGTATCCAAGGTTTCTGGCTATTGAGTAGACTAAATGCTGTACTATTGCATTGTAGAGTCGCACACAGCAAGTGTCGGTGCCTCTGGCCGCCCACTTTTGGCACATTGATCTTTGTCAGAAACCAGTCGGCTACGGAAGTCACCGGATTGGGAATTCTATAAGGCATTATCCTTTTTTCACTTAAAGATTAACTCGAAAAGTAAGCAGAAATGTTTTTCGGGCTCTCACGACGCTGCGTTCGTCCTCTCTGGACAGCTCACAGGCCTGCATTTCTCCAAATCTTCATTTTCCCGTTTTCCCGCTTTTTCCCGTTCATTTGCCGCTTTTTCCCGGTTTTTTCATCTCTGTCACGTTTCCACCCTTCCTTTCGCACGCCTCTCACACGGGGCCTTCATCTTCCTCTCTGGGTTGTCGCACACACATCCATTCTTCACACATCCAGTCTGCTTTTGCCCGTTGCTCTCCACTTCTGTATATGGTTCAACATCCACAACATTCAACTTTCCTTTTCGTTGCTTTTCAGTTCCGAAGCTTGACTACATGTCAGTTTCGTTCTGCACGAACGGTTAAATCGGGAATTGCCCGTCCCTTTCATCTGCTGCTGCTCTCATCCATCCACACATCACGTTTTACACCAGTCTCACTGTCTCCCCTCACACACCATCATCAGTCTGTCTCTCCCCTCTCGCATGGCCCAGCACCATCTGTCCTGGGTCTTTGGGCGCCTCATGTTCCTTTTATTCCACTTCTTCTCTTCGGAACGCTTTTCTTCCGAGTTTCCCGGGCGAGGGGCGGGGTTTATTCTCAGTTCCGACAGTTGACATACTGTCAGTCAGCTGCTCCACTATTTGAAACGTCGATGGACCCGTTGTGCACGGATTATCTACACTACGGGTTGAAACACAGGCAAGATGCGTCGTGGTGTGGCATCCTCTCAGCTCTTCCCCCACCTGCGGTCGTTCGTTCATTCCTTTTCAACCCAGCCTCTGCCTCTTCTTCCACATGTCGAGGAACATCTTCTCTGCGCAGACACCCCCAACCAAGCGCAAGCAGGTAGAAGAGTACACTACAGCAGTCTCTCTCCCCCCTCTCGCGTGTCCCACATAATAACTGCGCAACGATCTGTCTCGTTGGAGTTTAATTCACCTTCTCTTCGGGACGACTCTCTTCGAAATTTTCCTGGCGAGGGGCGGGGTTTCTCAGGAAATATACATGAACAGCAGTTCTGAGCGGGGCGGCGAAAGCCGCCAGACCACCTTGTACAGATTAGAGACTATTGTAGTCTGGACACCATAGCATGCACCTACGCCCCCTACTTTATACATTTTGCTCAAGGCTGGCGCCTTTTTGGCTGCCCGTGACCGAGCGCCTGTTTTGATTTCATATTTCGTATATGTTGTCCCGGCAGAAAACTGATTTGTGTGGTGACACGGGCGCTCGGTAGGGTATGAATGAAAAGTTTATGTCGAGACTTCGGGAAGCTATGGAAGCCTGTACCAAAATTCTCGTACTGAGAATTTCGACAGTGTATGAAGCCTGTACAGGTAGGGTATATACCGCCGGTATATGCCGGAGGCATGCCTCTGTACGTACCCTTGAACACACCTTGGTGTGTAGGGTAGCTCGGTAGGGTATGGAAAACTTACCGAAGCGTACCGAGATGGTAAGGTATGGAGATCTCACAGCTCGTACCGGGATTATCGGTAAGATATGTAAGGAATCCCGTACAGATCATACCGAGACGCTCGGTAGGGTACGCAGCAGCGGTGTATACCGTAGGTATGCCTCGCTACGTACCTTACCGAACACACCCTTGCAAGGTTTTCGGGAGCGACGTATTTCCCGAAATTGCAAGCACTCCGTCAATTACGGGCGGCCGTATCATTTTGGTATTATTTTCTGATGGTGTACCGCCGTCATGGCCACGTTTTGGCGCGGTTTATGCTACAGGGGGAATTAAACGCTCCGCTCCGTGAGAAGTTCTCCCTCTGGTAAACGCCCCACTCTCCGCCCCGTAATGTCTTCGAATAAAGGAGAAAATTTAACTTTCCACCCAGAGGTACTAGTCCGTGGGCACCCTGGTAAGTATCTCCCGGGCGTCCGCTTATTGGCTGGTAGTGCTCCATCCGATGAACGATACGCGGCTGTATTCGTACTGCACGTGAAACGCGAATGCTGGTTTGTGGAGCTCCTAGAAAATTCAGGCCTGCCAGCAACGGTCATAACATCCTGCATCACGCAGAGCAGGAATGCGATGTGTAAGATTGATACTGGCCTGGCCCACCGCAACGTTCTCGGCCACCCCCATGTGCAACCATCTTCGTCGATGAGTGGACTGACCATGCCTCTTTGCTCCTGTTGTCTTCGTCTCCCTCTGTCGATCCTCCGTTGTCAGAGCCTTTCAATGAATGCTATGTAGACACGAGCACGACCATACTGGACGGCCGGTCCTTAGTTTACACGTGCAACCTCTCCACAGGAGAAACCAAGCTCACTGTGTACGAGGACCAGGAATGCTTAGATGTTTACCTGTCAACTGGCGGCACTGGTTCTTGTTCCGTTGCCGACATATTCGACGATGACGATGGTGACGTGTGCCTCGAGGAGGAGGCCTGCTCTTCCAACGAAACCTGCACAGACGACGGTAAGTGGCATGTACACGGGGTACTAGTGCTGCTGTTCCGCGCAGCGGATGTGCCTTGAGTGCCGCTTTAGCTCTTTGAGTCTTGCCGCAACTCTTCTTACGGTGAAAAAGCTCATGCACGCATCTGTTTTCGACAAGCCTAGCGGTGTGAAAATCTCTTCGTCCTATGTAGTGGCTTGGACGCCTTCGTCTCGTGACAATCCCCTGGCGACCTTCGGCAAGGCTCCGCTCACGCGACCCCGACATGTCGCAACCGATGCCTCGTTCTCTCGTCGTCTCGCAGAGCCTTTTGCACTCTCGCCCAATGCCTTCAATGTGGTGGCTGCCCAGTACTCCGACGACAAGTGCACAGTTCCCACTGGTGTGGATCACGTGGTATCGGGGTACGATGTCAGCGCCCCTGGGTTTTCGACCGAGGGATGTTTTCCACCAGAATCGGATCCAGAGGTACCGGCCCCCAGCCTTCCATTCCTCAGCGAATGTCTCTCTGATGGCAGCGCTGTCATCCAGTTGTTCGGGTTGTCCGACCTCACTTGCAGCGGGGAAGTGCAACTTGAATACCATACCAACTTCACTCCCCACATGTCATCGGGGCCAGACATGCGCCGGATGGCGGACGCTGCAGACTCGTGCTACCTGGTTGGCGACTACCATTACAGGTAAGATGTCACGTCGAGGGAATCTCGATGCTTTCTTCCCTTCTACAAGCCTTTGGAATTGCTTGTTTTTGTATTTCTGGGTCAATGAAAACATTGGGGTTGACGTAAGCGTTCTGCGTTGTGAGGGCGGTGGAGAGCAGAGAGGCTTGAGCAACCGCCGTCAACACATTCGCTGCGTTTTTCGGAAGGTTCTGTGCGACGGTTGCGCTCACTCATCCGGTTAGTGCGCCGCCTTCCGGGGTTGCGCCTCCTCGCACTACAGTATGCCTCGTCCAGCATGAATGGGCGTTTGTTCCCCGCGAAAGATCTTTGTAAGACGTACCCGTCACTAATCACGGGGTTAGGGATATGGTGGATGAGGGTGTTGCATCTTCTCGGTACTCGCATATGGGCTTGCCTGAACAACCCACTTTGTCGAGGCGGTGGGAACTTTCTCCGGTGTCGTCCTCGGTGCTTGCCGGAATATAGCCGAAGATGATGTCAACAACGAACACACTTCTCGATATCATCTGGTGTCTAAACCGCAACCGCAAATATGCAAAATTTCACGGACGACGAATTTTGGCTTAGTTCGCCGTGTCACTTCGATATATGTAGCACCCTTTCCTACTCTTCAAGGCAATGGGAAGACTTTCCGTGGTCGCAAGCCAACCGATACTACGGTACTGGCATCTAACGAGAAAAAGCCTGCGCGTAAACCGCAACGCACGATAGAAAAAAGCTGCCAGACAGAATGACAAGGAAGACCTACAGAACCAAGTGACCTTACCTTGGACGCTTTTACGCCGACCAAGACATGCAGGTGAAGGAGGACCTCTTATGGCGAAATGCGGCTGAGGACGATGTCCTCATGGCACTTGGGATCCGGGGATTGTCATCTCACGTTATTTATTTTCACCGACCAGGCCAACCCCCTCTCCGCATAACAGGTGTGAAGGAGTTCTGTCCATCTGAAATTAAAGGCTAGACGACACTACCCCTGCGGCCGAACTATGCCAGTATTCTCTCTGTCGGGGGTGTTACCGATCAGGCAATCACTGCTCGTACTGCCATGTTACAGGTGGCGCGGGGGGTTAGGAAACGCGGACGGTCACAGGTCCACACGATGTAGGTCGAACGACGAGCGCCGGAGAATATCAAAACTGAACATGGACAGGTCATTTCTACACCATGAATGAGGTCAAGGTCGTTTCTTTGGGACAAGTTGGCTGAAATGGACAAAATCGTCGCTGTGCCAGCATGCCTCTTTCGTTTTGGACTTGAATTGTCGGATTTCGGCCAACCGTCCCCTTGATTGATGACTGCGTGGTGCTCTGACCATGCTGCCTTCCGTCATGAGCTCCTGAACATCGTTCGACGACACGTACATGCCCTTCCCGAGACCCACAATCTACGCGCAAATACGCAATAATGCGATCGACTTTCTGCTTCGGTGGGGACAATATGACTGGTTTTACATGTATTTTGTTCTGGCCTTGTTTCTCACCATGCCCTAGGCCTGTCTCCTGCACGCTGGACGCGGTGACCGTCGAAGGGTCCACTGCGACCCCATCCCCGGTCGAGCCAACTCCCTCCCCGACAGACGACGGTGCCGCCCGAGACATCCCTGGCGGCGTTGGTTCAAGTCCGGCCCCGACATCTTACGCTCCCACAGCCTCCGGCGAGGTGGCACCAAGCTCCTCCAGCCCGGTGGCTTCCCCGACCCCTCCGCCGTCTTCCGGCACATCGCCGTCGCCGGTGGCTTCCCCCACCCCTCCGCCGTCTTCCGTCACATCGCCGTCGCCGACACCGGGTGAGACGTCGCCGCCCGCGGCTTCCCTGACCCCCCCGCCGTCTTCCCAGACTACGCCGTCGCCGTCACCCACGTCGAGTGAAGCGCCCCTGGTGCCAGACACGGCGGTGACTGAAGCGCCTACCACCGGGGCGGTAGAATCGGCAACCAGCGGGGCGACGGCCGTCAGGATAGCTGGAATCCGTACAATAGCGGCGACATTGAGCTGTTGGTCAACTGTGTTAGTTACCCTGATGTACTGTACAGCTGATTAGGTCCAGCTTTCTTGGTTCAGGCATATTCTGACGGCATGTTGGCGTCGCTGTCAACATTTTGCGCTTCCGTGAAAGAGTTTACGTTCGGGTGAAAATAGGTCCGCGAGATCTTCGTGCCCAGAAGTGATACCTATGCGGTTTGGTGTGGTTTGTATTTTCGGTGTGGCGAAACCGCCTTGTTCCGATGTTCCGGTGGTCTTCGAAGAAAACCGGACATATGTCTCGGTGCTCTGGTTTTCCTGGCATCCCATTATTAATGTTGTTGGAACCTAGTGTGGGGAGCGCTGCCCTATTAAGAGGAGAGTTGCTTACACATCTCTGCCGTTATTGTGAGCTAGCAGAGAAGCGAAGATTCGCACTCCACACGTGTAGCCAGTATTGTACTGGACCAGTTTGCCGCTGGTCCACTTTCCAGCTTTTCGAGTGTCTCGCTCGGCTCGCTCGACGGAGACACTTGTCTTGTAGTGCATGGAACAGCTCCCTCGGAACACGAAATAAACGGTGCCACCGGGTGACAACTCCCTTCCCCGGGGCTCGTTTCTGCTTTGCTCAGAGTGAAATGCGTTTAATGTGTGAAGGATTATCTTGACAATTTTTGGGATTTCTCTTGCTTCTTTTGCCTACATACACTTCTGCCAGTCCCATTGTTGTAGTGATGTGCCGTCTGTCGGCCACGTTGTGAACCCAAGTGCAACTGTCGAGTACCCATTGATTGTTATTGTTCGAAGTGAGTGTACCACGTGAAGAATATCGTTGTTCGTGAGCTTGAATAATTATTTTTGTTTTTTCCCACTTGTGGTGCCTACGTGTATTGACGCAGTGCTGCCTCTTAAATGCTAAGGTTAGCGGGGTTGGGCCTGGCCGGCGAAACCCTGGGACCATGTAGTCCAATAAAGACTGCCGTAGCAAGGATATGGGATTTTTTTTGTTTTTGAATGAAACATTCAGTTTCACCCTACGTCTTGGCCTCCCCGCATCAAATGCACACCGCTGCGTTGTAGGTAGATGCACGTCGTGGCAGCAAGACAAGACCACAACAACACCGCTGCAGTGATTAAATGATGTTCTTGGACGCGACCACCAGTTTCCGTGAGAGTCAGTCAGCGTCATACACTTTTTGCACGTCGATGCTAAACACATCAAGTTGTTTGTTTGTGTTTTGAACTTGTGGTCTCACCATCCCGGGCCATCATGGAGGAGGAGGCCCCATACATGGGAGATTTTCAGGTTCTCCTCTTTTCTTCTGCGGTGCGTGCCTAAAATAGTTGTCAACAGGTTCTTACTCCTTTTCTCAGCACTCCCCGTGCACACTTCCACTCCCTTCGATTGGGGGCACAATACCCTCGAACGGGTAGTATTTTTGCGATTGGGGGCAAATTGCCCATCAGGGAGATTGCTCCAGTCAGCCGTCGCGGGAGACATGTTGGACGCGAAGGAGACAGGCAGGTAGAGCCCGTCGCTCCCACTCGACACGCGATATCCCCACGCCAAGTGAAACAAGCCGACGACAAGTAAACCTCATGATTCTATCGTTGTGCCGGAGTACCCATAACATCCATAGGCGAGGTTTACCACCGCCTGATTAGCACAGGTCATGCCTTATGGAACATGGCACCCCCCGCTGGACCGACTTTAAAAGCTCGATTGGGTAGGCGAGCTTTTTGAAAACGGTCGGGGTCTCCTCGGATATATGGACAGCTCTGATAAAGTCAACCATAAACAATGGTGTGGAGTGATGCCGTCTATACCTCTGCGTAGTAAGCCGGTCGCCACGGTGACAGTGGGTTTGGATGTAGCAAGTAGATAGAGCCTACGCATGAGGTCGAAAAACCTCGGGCAAGACGGCGAGACTGTCAAAAGAAAGTTCCGCCGCCCCTTCTCCTCCACTCTCAACATCCGCACATCCGCCCTGTATCGCATACATTCGGCGGAGCCCCCGAGAATCAGGTCTTGGCCTGGGTCGGTGACAAGTCAGTCGTAGTTGGCCACATCTTCGTGCTTGGCGCCCCCCCTTCTATCGCTAACCTCCCCTGGCGGTTCGAGGTAAGCACCTAACGAGAAAGGCGGCCATTTGTTGGCATTGTCGCTTGGAATATAGACGTGTGCTGCGAATTGTTTGCGATGGTTGTGTCGTGGTCGAGCTGCAACAGTAGTAATTCGGCATCAGCTGTTCGGCATGTAGTCTAGATGTAGCTGCGGCCGCGTTGCGGAGGATGACTTGTGACGTGTCACCTGCACGCTGACTTCCTGTTGTCTCGTGCTTTTGGCTGTCTTACGGTGTGAGGTGTCTTCTGCCTTAAACCGAGGCCCCCATGGTTCGGTGATGCAAGTACTCGATGAAACAGCCGCCGGTGTACTGCTGTCCAAGGGCGACTGGTCGGCCTGACGCAAACCGTACCCTTTCCGCTTTCGTTTGGTTCTCAAGGGTTGTTGTACCGTTCTGCCTGTGGCCCCTCTGTTTCCCAGCCGACATGTATTTGTGCCGAACCTGTTTTCGCGAATCATGGTTAGAGGAGCGTCTTTGTAGTGGAGGTTGCATTGCTCGGTGGTCGGGGGGGGAGATTTTCATCAGCAACGACTGCCGTTTTGCTTACATACAGCAAGAGTTTTCCAGAGCTTTTTCGGCCATTATGTCCGTAGGCTGCAGCACCGCCCTTGCTTTCATCCAGCTGCCTCCGACTCACGAATATGCACCCCTGACCGCCCTCGCGCCCGCCAACGTCTGGTTGTTTCCCACCCTGCAGATTCTGTTTCTGAAGCAGCTGATATTGGCGATTGCCGGGTGAAATTTGGCCGCATATCGTCTCTGTGGTGACCTCTTGACCCCGAACAGCTCTGGGAGGAGGCCAGTTATTCCAGCAGTTCTGTCGGCGGCAGCGCGAGCGGCGAGTCAGATCTGTTGCAACAGAGGCCCGCCGAACCGAACGAGTCAAGAGGAGCGAGGAAAGAAGCAGGACGCAAGAAAGGGAGCGAGGACAATGGCTAACCCATTTGCCAGGATCATCGCTCAGCTGGCTGTGGCCAGCGCTGGGATCGTGTCGAGAGCGTTCGTGTCCGCCTACTCCCAGGCCGTGCACAGTGAGTCGCCACAAAAATGGTATTTTTCCAAAGCATGGTTGTAAGCAAAACAGCAGCCTGTAGATCCGGACTGGTTTTGCGGCGTTTCTAAACGTGGCAACCGTGGCCTGCTAAGTCTCCCCCTCCGCCCGGGATTGACGTTGTCGCGTGAGATCACCTGCCTCTTCTTAAAAATGAGTTTTCAAAATCTGACGAAACCATTCGCCGCTGCTCTGATGTAGTTGTCGTACCTCCGTCGAACGGCGCGTACAAGTGAACACGATGGCAGCGATGTTTGAGACAGACCGTAGGTGTTCTCCGCAATTCTGTGCCCGCCAGCGTGGCCACTGCTGTACGGTCTTACACTGGAAACGGGCAAGTACCTGTCGTCCGTTCTTGTAACATCCACGGTTTTGCAGGTTTTTCTCAACGTTGAATGAAGGTCTCCGCGTTGTGACTATTATACTGCTGTATTGAAATCGTGAGGGGGGTTAAATGCATGGCGGCGATTTTCGAATATTTTCCTGTGGCGTTTCTCGCCTCCGTTCGCGAACTAATGTTCGTGTTGGTTTTATAACCTCACTTGCATGTGTGACCTGCAGCCCGATCCCGTCCCTGTGCACTACGAGCTTTTTTTAACACCCCAGCCGTGCTATTTACCTACGAAATGTATCTCACAGTTTTTGAATCGTGTTTGTTGGGTCTGTGGTAGCGTCGGAGCTTGCAAAGTGGTACTACGGCAGAGGCAGGGGATGGCGATCACGGGTGTGCAGGTGATACCTCATCCACCCTGCTTCGTTGCGCATTGTCGTTGGAGGGAACGCGGTGCGTTGCAGACGACTTGCTCCGTTTGTTCGTGGTGCGAACCGTTTACGCCGAGAACGAATCAGAGCACACCGGAATAGCCTACGCAGTGGCTGTGCGCAGTGTCCACCAATGAAACGAAAAGGATCAAGAATAAGAGAAATGGCGTAGGTGGACGGGAAGGCACTCGCGGGCTGTTTGCATCGTGTTACCATTTTTCGGCACGATGGCGTCGCGAGAGTCTTCAATGAACAGACAGCTGTCAAAGCGAGGGATTTCCCATTGAGACGGTGACCTCGCCGTTGTCATGAACATCACTACCCCACAAAGAAATAGTAAAACCGCCAGCAAGAACGACCTCGCCACTGCTGTTTTCCCACCCAACCTACCTTGACTGCCCCGCCCGTGTGATGCCCTTTTAGGTCGACCACCTTGCCCGTTGTTATGTTGTGCAACCGGGGTTGTGACTCTAATACTGGGTTTGTGAAATCGTTGGCCGGTTGATGCTAACGATTCTGCAAAGGGATCGGCGATCAGCCGCTCGTCGTATTTTTGTGGTCGATTTTTGCTTGTCTTATCGACCACCCGTTGCGTTGTCTGCAGCCTTTTCATCTCTTAGTTATGCACGACCTTCGAATTGAACGTTTCGCATCGTCCGTTTCGTCTGCCCCTATCTGTGTTTTATCTCGTGCTCGACGCACCGCGGCGCAGATGCGAGGACGGGTACCCTGGAGAGTGCGAAGGCCATGTCGAGAACGAGCAAGCTATCCACCCTCGAGGCCATGCAGATCCTCAACCTGCAGAAAGGGGAAATGAAGCCAGATCTCATCAAGCAGGTACCTGCGTCCCTTTGTTTCCAGCAATGCTAAATTCTGGCATGTGTGGTCTTGGCATAATAGTCTGAAGTGTGCGATGAGTTGGCGTTCCGTGTTCTACTGCTGTGTTGCGGGATCGGTTAGCGTGTAAGAGGGCGGGAGGCGGGGGCTAACTTTCAGAACGATTTACAATGGAACGCCAACCATCTCAACAGAGAGGGCACGTGTGGGCATCGTCGTGGGGCACTCTCGATCGAATATCTCATTTTTACGTATTCTGTTCTGCTAGTTCTTTAGAGCGTTGGAGCCGGGTTCGATGCAGCCCCATGAGACTAGACCGTGGCAAATACTTGTACGCTTGAAGTATGCAAGAGATCAAGCCACCGCGCGGCTGTGCTTTTTGCGCACGATGTGCTTGTTGGTTCAGCCCGGGCCTCGCGCCACCATCGAAGACTCGAGTGGTGTTGGGGCTGTTGTTTTCTCCACGTGTAGGTCGTCCGTACGATACAACCTGTGAACGAATTTCCATCTATGCTGGTATCTAATCCCCTCAAGAAGCCCGTTCCACATTTCACGGAATATGATTCTCTGGTCCGCAAGAATGACATAAAGCCACCAACCCTCTGCTGATTATTACCCCCAATTTTTCCAATCTTGCACCACAATACATACCGGCCCGTTGCTTCAGCCCTCACCGCCGTCGCCCCACTCCCGCTTTTTTCGCCGCTGCCGCGACCATATTATGCCCGTCTACGATGCCTCTGGCGCTGGCGTCGATACCGCCTGTGCTGCACGCGTGGAATGCCTTCTCCTGCCTTCGTTTGGCCGGGGGCTCGGTCGTGATGCTGTGCGTCGTGGCTCCTTTTTGCGTCCGCACGCAGAGATACGATCAGTACTTCGGCGTGAGTACTTGTGCCCTGTGGATCTTGCTGTGATGGGTAGAATCGTGGGTAATCTCGTACAATGCGCCGAGAAACCGTTATCGCTTCATGTGCATGACCTCCCATTGGTGTGATTGCCGCTGCCGCTGCTGCTGCTCTGGTGCCATGCGGAGTGATATAATCTCTTCGGGGTCATGTACATGTCGCGACTTTAATCCATGCGTAGGGTTAATGTCGTCGAAGAACTCGGTTTCTTAACCCCTTTGGGTCTAGGCTGGACTGTCAGATTTTTTCTTTTGCGCCAAAAACAAAATATTAGAGCGAGAGCGAGAGAAGTGCAGAGAAAGACACCAGTGTACTTCTGCACACGCAACAGCTATCTCCACCTGTAGGCCATGAGGGAAGCCGGCGACAGGGTGGTAGCCACAGACAGGATCGTAGAAGGGTTGATGGGTGGTCGCGCTGCGGTCAGTAGGTATGTAGACTTTGAAATGATCAGTCGTCTAGCTGGCTCAACTAGTCTATTTTCGGCATATTGTAAATGATCAGTCCTGAGAGGGTAAAATGATCAGTGAAGACCCATAGCTGGTATTTGTACTTCTGTACTTCTCTGTTCTCTGTCCCCCCCCGAAATGTGCCCTGCCAGCTCTCTAGCACTCCTGTGTTTTTCAAACAAGCACATTCACCAGCACACTAGCACATACCTGTACCTCGTGGTTTCCTAGGTTCGGGCAAGGGTATGTGTGGCGCCACGAGTGTGGATGTGTTGCTGATACATTTTACTCGTCTACAGCAGTAGTAGTAGTGTTGTTGTAGCGTTTGTTGCAGCTGCTCACACAATGGCTGCTGGGTCTTGGGAACGATTTTCAAATTGTTGGGAGATGCAGCATACCACGATATCATCGATATCTGGGCTTCGGCAGGGCTTGCAATACCCCTCCGTTTTGCTGCCCTCTGCTCTTTGCAGCAGTGGCTACGTTCGGGCGAGTGTATGTGTGGTGCTGCGAAAGAACATATGTATGTATGTATGTATGTATGTATGTGTGTATGCACACACGTTCATGTACATACGTTGAGAGATTCATGATTTGGCATTATTGATTGGCCCCATTCCCGAGACCTTGCTAATACCCGCTGTCACTGACGTCTCTTCATTGGTCAGCCGGTTAGCGCGGGTGCTAATAATCTAGACACACCTACCTGTGGACTTGCCAATACACAGCGCGAAGGGCTGCAGGGCGGCAACTCCACGACTTGCCACTACACCAGCATTTGCAAATGATCAATCAATGATCAGTCAGAACGCCTGAAGACTCAAAAGGGTTAAAGCGTGGTGCCTCTCTTTCTTCGTCGCGGTAGGAACCCAGCGAATATTGTCCAGGTGTAGCAGTACATGCTGGTTACCCCAATGCATGAGATTGAGCTCCCTCGCTCCGGTCCTCGCCGTCTTTGCAACCCCACCATGCAGATCAACGACCCAGACAAGGGAGGATCGTTCTACCTCCAGTCCAAGGTTTTCCGAGCCAAGGAGGCGTTGGACGAACAGCTCGCGCTGCAGGCGAAGCAAGCGTCGGAGGAGGCGGCCCTGAAGGCCAAGGCGGCAGCCGGCGGTAAGGGAGGGGCGGGAGGGGCGAAGGCGAGACCGGCGGCAGGGGGCGCCCGAAGGCCTAGCGCTAACCGCCGGAGATGACAACCTTGGGGTTCCGAAAAATGTGTTTTTTGTTTGTTTGTTTCCCTCCCTTGTGGGAGGGGTTCGGGGTTGTCTTGGAGGGAGAGCGAGAATGGCGAAAAATGGCGCAGATCTTTCCTCAGGATTGTCACTGCCCGCTTATACTTTTTTTTGTCTTGTCTTGGGGGCGCGCGAGGTGGCGGCTGGGAAACCCTCGCGCGCCTTGACCTGGCTACGTTTTTCGACAGTTGGTGATATCTCATGTCGTTGGTTCGGTCCTGCGTGAGACTGTCTTACACCGAGGTTGTCTTTGCTTTCGAGGGCCGGGAGAGGCTCCATGCTCTTGCCGGTACATGGTGCTTCGCCGTCTGCGATTACAAATCGGGAAGCCTCTCACTGAATGTAGGTGCACGGTGGTTCTCAACTTAACCGTCGTCCGACGCGCTTGTGCATGCTTTGAGTTGTGGAGCCCACCTGTGGTATCTGGGTATTCCTCCAACTATCTCGACGTTCTTTCGATACACATATGTATCGGCGAATGGGTTTGACGTTGCTTTGCTTCTTGGAACGCTCTCTGGAAGAGATGTCATAAATCAATTTCTCTCGCTCGGTTTGATGTAGGGATGTAGCCCTGCAGGAGGACTGGAGGGTCTTCGTGAGACGAACATGCCGTTGAGGCGTCAAAAATCTAGGTTCTGTCCGTACTGACTTTCGACCGACCCTTTTTGTCGCAAATGGTACCAAAATGGTGTATTTCTCATCGCGCAAAGTGGCGGAACCTCCTGACGTTTGAGTCATGGGTTCGACTGTCGGCGCAGTTACAAGGACCGGGGTTTGCCTCACAATCGCCCAAAGAAGCGCAGAACGCAGTACTCTTGGGTTTGTGCTGAAACGTGTAGTATCCGACTTTACCGTCACGAGGGAGTCGTTCACGGCTGATGGAAGACGGAAATATGTATCTCCTGTGTGGCGTTTCTCCTTTGTGACCCCGGCCAGCGCGTCCAGAGATTGTACCGAATGGTGTGATTATCCATTAGATTTCCCGATGGCATTCACTCCATTATTCTACTACGCGAGTATCACACCCCCTGACATACGTTCACTCTTGTTGACAAGTACCGGTATATTGGGCTTGCACTTTTTCAGCGCCGGCCCACAATTGGTGATAAAACTGACGAGAAAACTTCCAACGTAACATGTTTTCAGTGAATCTCGCGCCAGAACCTGGAAGCGTTCGGTCTATTGGGATTGGTGCACGAACAGCGCGTGAAGGGGAGCTGCAATTCATTCCTTCCGCCACTACCACCATGCCTTACCTGGGGGGTTCCCTTTACGCCGCATATCCCGTGTGAAATATGCATTTTCATACGAAACGCGCTCATCGTCGTAGGCTCGACTTGCACCATTTCGATTTCGTTTTCTTGTTGCCGCCAATGAGATCCGCGCGTTCTCATTTCACTACATTCAACGAGCGAGGTAAGTGATACGTCAATGCACAATAGCTGCACAGAATGGCCATCCTCGCACTTCATTACGATCAGTGATCCTAGTCGCAATCTGCTTTACCTCGTCTTGTCTCCTTCGCCAGGCATACAATTTCTACATACTAGACAGCTCGATCAACCCGTACCATGTGATTGTTCTTCCCGTCCCGATCAAAGTCTCACACACCATCCCCGTCAACCAAAGATTTGGCGGAGATTTGACCCCCGTATGGCCATGCTTCATGCCATCCTTCCTAAATCTCACGGGCTTCCGACGTGCTGTTGACTTCCACAACGAACGATATTCCCTGCTTGTCCAACGTAGAACGTTTCGGGTTGCGGTGCGCACTCCTTCGTACTGTACACAGTTCATTGTTGGCGAATCGACAAGGGTCCCACAAAAAACCCATGTCGGCAATCCACGTTGGTAAATATTCATTCTGGGTTGTACTTCGATCCCTCGGCAAGTTGCGAGCTCTGCCGGGGTCATGTCGATGTCTATCGCCCGATTCGTGAACTTTAAATAATTCGATATCTGTTGGGGTGGTGAATGGAGCTGTTGCACCTTCTCGCGAAGGTTCAGGAATGAATGCATGTATCACCGCGAAAATAAATCGGTCTGTGCCGCATCGCGTCGGGGCTACCAGGCAGCCAAACATTTCGTATGCGTAGCGATCGAAGCTCAGGCGGGCTCTTATTCAGACGGCCGCATTGAAGACATACCAGCCAGCTCCAGACGTCCAACAGGCAAACCATCACGTGCATCATCTATCGGGAAGGCGACAAAAGGCAAACACGGTGGCGGAATACCGTCTCTCATTCCGTGCGGTGGTAGCATGCAACAATGTCACGAGGGGCCCAGGAAAGAATGAATTGATCGTCCTGGAGTGGGAGAGGGAATCTATCATCATCACTTGCTGTAGTTGCTGAATCCGAGCAAAGTTGTGGTCAGGATTCCTTGGGGGTAGCTATGCTGCCCTTTCGAGCCGAAATGGGTTTTGCCTGAGATGGGTTGCCGGCTCCGCCTATTCTATTCAACACCAATCCTTTTGGTTTTGATAGGCGTACAAACGGTGACGGCGGCGTTACATTGTTTGCATTGAAGACGAGGTGCGGGCTAGACTAGTGCGCGGAGGTCAGAGGCATTGTGCATGAAATGACAGCAACATTTATCCTGCAGGCTGTGGATGTTGACAATAGGCCCGTATCTTTTCTCGAAGAGGAGTTGTTGACTATTTATGTCCTAATTGTTCCATGAGCTGTTTCGCGCTCTCTCGACGACGTGTCGCGTTTTGAGAACGTGCGTACGCAGCAATGACTGATGGAGCACCCGATTGTTGTTGTTGTTGTTGTTGTTGTTGTTGTCTTCACATTAAAAACCGTTCCGATCTCTCTCTACCCAGTACCTTCGTATGTCCGTACTGATCCAACACTCGACGCGGTCGATTCCCGTGGTCACAGGTTAACTTACCCTAAAAAGGTACACTCAAATAAACTGGCCCCGAGGGGTCCGCAAGTCAATAGAAATCAACGACAGATATTCTGGGATCCTCCGCTCTCTCTTCACGCTATGCGGGGTATCAACTGAGATTAGCAGTCACTATCTATCATGGGCCGGAGAGAAAGAGGCACACTCCCTTGGTTCAATCTTGGTACTTCACAACGCAAGCAGAGACAAGTCCATCTGGCACAGAAAAAGAGAGAAAAAAAAAGAGAGAAAAAAAAAAAAAAAGGACAAAGAGAAAAAAAAAAAAATAGAAACCGTAAGGAGAAGAGAAGACAAATGAAAATAAAATGAAAAAATGAAAAAAAAGGGCGAGGACAAAGAGGGACCAGGCCGAAAATAACAGGAAGTATGAGGCAAAACAAGGCACACGGTGGAGAGACCACTAACGAACAAGCAAACACGCAAACATGGCCACCAACCAGCGATACATTGTAATGGTACGAAATCACTACTACTGGGGGGTTGGTGCAATGGTGCAGCGTTGGGGGGGGGGGGGAATTGGCGAAAAGAACTTCAATCCGGCACGTGTCGTGCCACTCGGTCCGTCTCTTCTCGTTTGCTTTCTTCCCTCGCCGTCTCGTCCGTCTCCTGCCCCCCTCCCGCCCCATTGGTTGTTGGCTTGTGGTTTCGTTTGAGCGCTCGTTGTCGGCTGGCCTCTTCTTCCTTCTCGTGCCAGGAGGTCATGAACCTCTCAGCTCCCTGCAGCACCGCCGCATGCCAGGGTACTCCCCCCTCCACCTTCGCGGCTTCCGTCCACCTTGACTTCGGTGCCGTGTCTTTCGGTACGGGAATTCCGAGACAACTTGGGTCGGTTTTCGTAGATCCGTGGTCGGCCCCGAAGGCCTTCAGGTCGTCGAGCACACACTTCGGCCAGTTCTGTTCCTGTCCCCCCCTACGTGGCTTCTCCCCCCCCGCCAGCTCGCCGAGCATCAGTCGTTTCGGGAGTCGCCCGTCCGGCTGCCTTGCCAGTGCTCCCGCGAACAGTAGGCGTCGTTGTCGGATCGTGGCTTCAACGCTCTGGCATTCGACCCTCTTCAGCGTCTGGGCGTACGAGCGCTGCCGGTAGGTGTCTTTCTTGCGCTTGTACCCGATAACTCGAAGGAGCAGTCGGTGGTGTGTCGACCGCAGCGTCTGATAGTGGCCGCTGAGTGGTGACCATGTCATGCAGCCGTACAGCAGTGCCTCCATCGCCTCCGCCTGGAGGAGGCGGATCTTGAGTCGGAATGGCGCTTTCGGTCTGTCGAAGAGCTCCTGGCCATATCGCATGAGGCACGCCCACGCTCCTCTGCTCCTGTAGCTGATCTCCCGTGTGAGGTCGCCATGTTCGTTGACGAGGCCACCGAGGTACCGGAACTCGGTCGTCTGGGCGTATTTCTGTCCCGCTGCTTCGATAGTCAGTGGTGGAGGAGGAGGCGGGGGGGACTGGGATGTTGCAGTCGGCTTGTCCTTCGCGCGCATCAGGAGCGTCTCCGTCTTCTTCTCCACGACACCGTTAGCCCGAACTCTCCGAACACCTCAACGATGATGGTCATCATTCTCGCCAGTCCTTCTGCAGACCTCGATACGACGCCGGCATCATCGGCATACAGCATCCCCCATACTGCCCTCCGTACTCGGTCAAGGGGTGTCTCCTTCCCCCCCCCCCGCTTCCGTCTTCCCCTCCTCCAAGCACACCAGATTCCGCAGAACAACATCATCCTCGCTGAATCGGATAACGACGACCTCGAGGACCTCGGCGAAGAAGATGTTGAACAGCAGTGGGGATAGCACACATCCTTGTCGCACACCCTGTGTGACGAAGAACCAGTCCGATAGTTCTCCGTCGTCCATGCGCACCCGGGCCCGCATTCCATCGTGGAATTGGCGGATGACTTTGATTAGCTTCGCGGGAATCCCGGCCCTGGCCAGCACCTTCCATAGCATCTCTCGGTCCACCGAATCATACGCCTTCATTCAAGTCGACGAAGCACATGTAGAGCGGTATTTTCTTTCTCCGCCCCAGCTCCTGGAGGCGACGCACGACAAACAGCATGTCGACGGTGGATCGCCCGGGTCGGAATCCGCACTTTTCCTCCGGGAGGATGTTGTTGGCTTCGCAGAAGGCGCTTAGACGGTTGGTGATGATCTTGATGGGAACCTTGCCTACGTGAGATAGTAGCGAAATCCCCCTGTAGTTGTTACAGTTGGACCGGTCACCCTTCTTGTACAGCACCTTGATGGTTGCGTCCTTCCACTCTTGGGGGATATCTCCTCCGTTCCACACCTTGACGAGGATGGTATGGAGGTGTCTCAGGACAACGGGTTCGTCGTCATCGATCTTGAGCAATTCGGCAGGGAGGGAGTCATGGCCGGGTGCCTTCCAGTTCTTGAGGCCTTTCGCTGCCCGTGCCACCTCCTCGAGATCTGGCACCTCTCCCAACCGTTGACTGTCACGTGTCGCTGGCCGCTGCGTCACTCGTTCGATGATGTCTGGGTTCAGGGTGGGGGATTTGGTGTTGAGTAGGGTGCTGAAGAATCTCGCCCACCGTTGGAGGATGTCGTCCCTGTTCCGGACCCGATTGTGCAATGTTGTTGCCCCAGTTCGAAGGCCAACTTCAAGTGCTGCAGGTGAGCCTGTACGTATCTCGTACCGACCGCTGCAGCTCGGCGTGGCAACTCACTTGTCTTGCCGCTTGACTCTATTGTACGAGAAATGTACAGTAGCTCTGAGTACGCAGGAAGCCCGAAGGAGAAGAAGATGATGTGGGGAAACGTAGCCTCTTGATGAATGGATACCAGAACGAACATTGGGAAACAGGGGTGAAATCAGAGAGGTGGATATCTCTCCAGAAAAAGGCAGAGGGGAAGATAACGCCAAAGAGGCAGAGTGAGAAGACGGGGCGAGGGCGCGCTGATCCTCGAAGTCATAGAACCTCAATTATCCAGCAACGTCAACCGATCACACGGGTTCCGAATACGGTACTGGTGAGCTACGATCGCGTTGCTGGCAAAAATGCCTTCGTTCGACATCATGCTCTCGAAGTTGCCACGTATGCACATCAAGTTCTGAACGAGCAAGCATACGTGATTGCCTGCACTGCCGCACGACCAACTGCAGAATAGACTGCAACAACTGAACAATAGCACCTTTCATTGGGATGCTGGGCGCAAACGAACAGTGATTCTTGCCCGTTCATTCTTCTTCACACGCAATTTTGAGATATTCACGATGGTACACATGCTTTCACACACACACCCAAGTCTGAGCGACGTGCATATAATGTACTACTTCTGGAAATCTAAACTATGCATATTCTGGATAACGAACGTAAAATATTACCAATTACCTTCTTCAAGGCTCCATAATCTGAGTATTACAAACCACACGAAAACCCATCTGGGACATGGGGTAGCAACATTCCCACGGATTTATGCTGACTATGTGCCTACATATATATGCATTACTGAAACTACGATACATACATGTAGTTCCAAATATTCCAATACAATCAAGGAAAGAAGCCATGGTTCCATTTAGGTTCCATTACGGCAGATTCAACACCCTGCGTGTCTACTGTTCGCCACATCGTGAATGATGACGCCACCCGCGGCATGTTCCCCGTGAACCTGCCGCAACTATCCGACGATAACGCTGCTGTGGGGGGGGAGGAAACGAAAGCAACGGGTCCCGGAACGGAATGAAAACTTGTTCGGCTGCCAGCAAGAAGTGATCTTCCCGGAACGGAATGAAAACTTGTTCGGCTGCCAGCAAGAAGATCACGTATTTACACGCCTGTGCCTAAAATAAATGGAACTACAACCATGGACGGTTCTGGCACATAGAAGTTGAATTTGTTCCATCAGTGACAAGTCAGCGGTTGACTATTTTCGTTAGTCGTGTGTTTCGAAACCTTCAACATGTTCACTCCACGAAGGGTCACTCCCCTCGCCGGCACTGCTATCCTCACAAAGAATGTTTCACTTTTCTATATTCAAATGCAGAAGATCTTACATTGACGTGTAGTAATATTTCACATTCAAACTCGTTGTTCCGTCAACCGTACTTTGAATCAAGGTATCCGGGATCTCAGGGAAAGAAAACTCCTTGAGGCCGTCTGGGTTTGGAATCCGCGACAAACGTTCTTATGAAGCGCTGACTGTGTCCATGGGCATCTGCGATCTGAGGCAAACCGAGATGTGGTTTTACCCTCCCGCGGAGTCTGTCCCCCGAGGTCACAGACCTGGGATCTTTCGCGACACCGTTCCGTCACAATGAAAGCAGGAATGGGTTGCTGGTGCCGTCACCTTCGAAACAGTGCGGATCTCGTCGCCCGTAGCCTCTGTAAGGTACATGATGATTTCTCTGTTGAAACAAGGGAACCAACCAAAATGAGGCGGAGATCAAACAACGAAAGAAGCCAAGTTCTACCGAAAACACCGAGGCCAGGGAGAGACTATCCACGGTACGCCCGACGTTTCCTAGGCTAGGGGCACACCCCTGATAGGTCAAGAAGGACTGGCTACACGACAGCATTCAGTGTGGCTCGTTTGTATTCAATAGACTACAGAAGATGCTTAGCACCAAACGGAAGCCAATGACCTGGCCGTGCTTGCCTCGAGGCCATGTTCTTTCGCCAAGTAAGAAAAATTCCAAAGTTTCTAGACGCTAGGCGTACCGCGTAGGAAAGTTATGTCATCGATCCGATGTACAGGGTCCCCCCACTCATATCGTAGGATGACTCCGCCGGAACAACCTCCAAATTATCAGAAGCGGAACTCTTCGCCCCAGCGTAGATGATAAAAAAATCGTGATCAATGGCGAGAACAACCCAACCCTAGCCTTGAACCAAAGAATGTTCAGCGTCGGTTTGGGTCGTCGAACACCGGCCAATCCACACCCACGCCCTGTTTGCAGGAATCTACCGATCCCTGAAATATGAACAATAAACAATTACGGACACGCTGTGCCCTTCGTCAAGGGGCGGGAAAAACTAGACGAAGTGTGCGACGCACGAGCAGATCGTGGTGGATTTGTTGCTGTTGTTGTCTTCATGTTATAAACCGTTTCGTTCTCTCTCTGCCCAGTACCTTCTGTCCGTACTACCAGTCAAACACTTTGACGCGGTCGATTCTCGTGGTCACAGGTAAACCTACCCAAATGAAGGAAAATGAAAATAAAATGGACCCGAAGGGTTGGCAAGTCGACAGAAATCAACGACAGATTAGTCTAGGACCCTCCGTTCGCCTCTACACGAGGTAAAGCATAGACTGGAAAAGTAGAAAGAAAAATAAGGAGAAAGGAAGAAAAGCAGAGAAAAGACAGAGAAAAGGGAAACGCCAGAACCACCGACCGTTGCGACGAAAAAGCAAACCAACACAAGACAAGACAAGACAAAACGGGCCACCCGAGACAACAAAGGCACGTCAACGCCCGTGGGAGGTTGGTGCAATGGTGCAATAAACACGATAAAAATTGGAAATAAAAAATTGAACAATCTTGGGAGAGAAATAAGACCAGATAATAGGGCCGCAGTTTGATGCCGGATTCGGTCCAACACACAGAAAGGCAACCACACATCAACATGAAACACGGACGACCGGTGGGGGGGTGTACTCATACTCATAGTCGTGCATGCCGTAGTCGATAGACCATTGACCTCTCATCCCTACAAAGCCGGGACGGAGCACGCCGGGTTCTTACCGGACCAGGCTCTCACATCGCCAAGCGCGACCGGGGGGAAAGACAAACACAATACGGGAAGCCACGAGCAGTTCTCGGGTGTGATCCTTGCCATATGCTCTGATCGTTTTTCCGTGCACCCTCGTATCGTCCAGACCTAAGGTCATGCACGGGACTTGCCTCTTCTGTTTTTCTCATTGTGCGCCCCACCCCTCCCAAGCAGCCAGGACAGGTAGGTGCAACCTTATAAGCCCTCAACCCTTTTCCCCGCCATCCAATACAAAATGTGCCGTAAAACAACGGACTACATGCACTGGCAGAGGTCAATACCTCGTATCTCGCATTCCTCATGAAACACTCGCCTACGCTTGAAACGTTGGGCACCAAATATTCATCCAAAACGACTCCAAAGCAGGGATATCGGGAAACCACTTCCGAACCCAGCTGCTGCGTCGCCCGCGGGCAAGAACGGGAATAAAACGGGAAAATTCTGAGGCTGCTCCACCGAATTGGTCTCAATGCGCCGCCCCCGACATGGACAGTCAGTATTGCAACCAGACATCAAATTTCAACACACGAAATCACTACCGCTACCAGAACTAGGGAGCTTTAGCCCCCTTCAATGCTTGACGAGCAAGAACGCCTTCTCGGGTGGAGGTGTCGAAACATCTGCAAAAAACGGTCAACGCATATCTATCAATGGGCCCATCCAGACAGAGATTGGGCCAGCAAAACTGTCCATGCCGTCAAACAGATATGCTTCACAACTACACAATGAAACCTGACATCCAAACAAATACTAGACAACGGGCAAACACAGAGAGAAGCCCAAAGACTCGAGTAACCAAGCATTTCGATAATGTCGAGTAAGTCCACGACGGAACAGCCTAATATTTTCACGATCTTGAGAAAGAAAAGCGGCCCAGTCGTAGAACAACGAACGCCTCGGATGTGTATGTCACACTATGTTACGTTATCCAATATTCTCATTATTTGGGTTCTGTTGGAAGCGTCGATTTGTTTTTCCGGCGGGTCACTCGTGCACGTATGGCACGTGTCATGTCACACAAATTATCCTGCCTGGTACCCTCGGCCATGCATCCATTTTCTTCTGGACCAATATTGGGGGAGCTCTCGCTGGCTGGTGATTCCCGAAGCCAAGCAGTCTCAACACGGAACTTCACATGTTGATATACATCCAGTCATAGCACACATACGTCATACTCCTTCGTGGTACGCGTCCATCATCCGGCCAGCAGAAGCAGGGGACGACCCACCATGATACCGTCGCTGCCTCGACGACTCTTCCTGGCGCGTGTGCCCCCTGCTTGCTCCCTCGGGCCTCAACAGTGACACGTTCCCAAGAACAAGTCTTGTTGCAGCCAGCTGCACGTAACCAAAGGTAAAACGGCATCATCACCCAATGTGGATGCCCTTTTCCTGCAGAATAGATCGAAGTGAGAGCGGCCGGGAGTGAGGACACAGCACACGAGCCTCGGCACAGTAACTTCAATATTCAAGACGATGCGGCTGTCTGCAACGCGCGCTGCGCCATGACTGCGACGAAGACAACGGCGGCTCGATGTAGTGAAAAGCAGCCGGCCAAACAAGGTGTTGGGAGGCGTTTTCATTCGACACGCATTAATCTTTCTCCCTGCATTGCACGTGAGAGAATGTCTTACCCGGCGATGCTGCCCACACGGCCCCACCGACCGCATCATGATCGGGTCATGAGCCACCTCCAGATGGAATGGCATATTTACAAACCTACCTGTGCGATAAACTTGCTGGCCAAGTGCGACCACGGAAGAGGGAATTTCCGTTGGAAAGAGCCCCATTTGTCCCAGCCGAGACGCGTGTGTCGACGAAGACACGAAAGCACGCGAACGACTACCTGCACCCTTACCATCAACTGAAAACCACGGGATGACATCACCGGCGCTCTCCGAGGGCCTAAAAACGACAAGGGCAATACCCCCCCTGAAACCTCAACTCACATCACAATGAGGCCATTCGAAGTTGTCGTAGACGTAGGGCACCTCGTCCCCATTGGGGTCCAGCAGGTGGTACAGTTCCGCGTTGGTGTAGTACTTCTTCGGGGATAACGCCATCCCTCCAGTAACCCTCCCCCCTCTCAAACCAATCCCTGTCTCTTGCTGGCCGCTGCCAACCCCTCCTTGCCTCGCCGTGCCTCCGACCCCCGCAAGGGACGACGCCTCCAAGACCGAAGAAGAGGCGTCCCTGGATGATGCAAACATGTCGTGAAACGGCAGGGTGTCGCCCGGGTTGTGTCCGAAGCAGACGGACTCGGAAGGCACCCAGGTGTCGTCGAAGGTGTCGTCCTGCAGCCTGCGAAGTTGCCAAAGCCTTGACGACGAGTGTGGGTCGAAGTGGCAGGACAGGCAATGGTGATCGGGCGTGGAAGTCAGGGGACGCCGCAAGAGTGAAGCGGGAGTTGCGCCTCGGTCGGGGGGTCTCAAACTGTCGAGCAAACAGAACGGTTACGCACCCGCAATTTAAGCTTCTCCATCTGCATGCTACTCGGGGCAGCATCATCACCTGAGTAAAGCTCCACTGCAAGCAGCCCGTCTGGCTTACCGGATAATACTGCGCTTGGATGCCACTTTTCCAAGCGGCGTCGGGTGTCAGCCGTGCTGGCGAAGCATAAGTTTGGCCATCAGCAAGTGGCAGTAAGGGGTGAGCCCGCCTCCGGTCCAACCCCCACCAACCACAAGGTTGTCAAAGCCTGAGTCATATCCCACACCGTACCGTACGGCATAGTTTCAACCCACTACCACGCTTACCGCGCTTACCTCTCAATGGTGGGGTGAATGACCCAGAAAATGGGGTCTATGGTGCTGGTCGCCTCGTAGAATGTTCCGACCACGGAAGGGGTGCACATGACGCGAAGTGCTTCGTGGAAGATGTCCTCGGACTCTTCTGCCGTGTAGCCCGCGAGGGTACCCTTTCGGTGGTGGAGGTGTGAGAGAGGCGAAAGCAGCGTGAGCGACCATTCGCGACCATTCACTTCTTGAGCAAGGCGACCCTCGGCGGTTGCTCCTCACCACCCGCTTTGCCGATGACATGCTCAAGACCTCTCGGCTACCGAGAGAACAGCAGCAGCGACTCGTTCTACCTTTTGTTGCGTCCGACCGCTGCACCGCGGACAACACCCGCACCTTCCCCGCGTCCGCCGCGGGGCTAGACCAACCACCCGAAAAACTACTCTCCTCGCACGCTTCCGGCGCGCGCGCGCTTGAGACTGTCATGGGTTGACACATACCACAGAAAAACCTGGTGTACCGTGGCTACGCGGCTGACTCTCTGGTGCTGGTAAAATACGTGTCTCTCACCTCTTGTGTAGCTGCATCAAGATTTTCGATCAGCTTGAGGTGTTTGTCGTAGAAAAACGACGATCCGGACAGCAGCCCCGCATCTTTCAGCACCTGCGGGGACGGACCGAAATGAATCGCGAAAGACCGGGGTGCGGGCAAAGGAAGATGAATGGTGGAATAGCAGATGGCACTATAGGAGTCTTAATTGGCGTCCGTTCGAAAGGGGCACGAAACATCCAGGGCTGACACGTCCGAAGGAGAGTCCCAGGCAGTCCGTGACGTGGGGAGTGAGAAGTAGGTTGGCCGGACATGGGCAGGGGCGCGTGTGGTAGAACGGGAAACTCATCGCAGCAGCAAATGATCATTGGTCAACACTCACTGCGCGCGTCCATACGGAGCAAGAATTGGTGAGGAGTTCACGGTGTACATATTATTAATTTCGCAGCCCAACTTTACAACGAAACGTTACGGCTTGATCTTTGTAGTTTCATTTCTCTGTGCGGGTGCGCGCGTTGAGTGCCAAAACCTTATTGGCCGTGCCACTTCTAGAGGTTTCCCGGTCCTTTCCTACAGCGCACGGTGGCGCTGATAAACTTGCCGGTGCGTTTGGTCCCAAAACGGTACCCGTCAAGGGGTGCTGCTCCGTCACCAGTTACAGCGCCGGTTTTGCCATCCGCTTCCTTCAACGACCAGTCGCGGTCGAAGCACCTACCTCGAGCGGGCTTTTCCCGGCCATTGCGGTGGCGTCGCAGGAGCACTGGCACTCCATCCAGGGGGCGTTGTTGGAACATGACTCCGGGCAGACCAAGTAGTCCGCTCTCCACAACTTCTTGGTGTATATCTGTGGGGAAAAGAAACATGTAACACGCTCCTTATTCGGCCAACCCAGCGAAAAGACAAAACACGTTTTTTCGGGCTACAAATGACAACGGGAAGCGACAATAATTCCCTGCCGAAAATTCCCACCGACAATGAGGGACGAGCATCAGAAGATGGCAGATGCTGCTGTCGGCTTGAATGTTCTCGCGTCATAGTACACAAACAGGCCGTCATCGATCTCGCCCTGGAAACTTCGAGTCACCGACAACGAATTATGGACGAAGAGCAGCTACCGGCGGTGCCAAAGTCTGTTTTCTCGCTTCACGTTTGACCGTGGCTGACCGGAGGCTGTTCGGTGTGCCCTCACTTGTACCGTAAATAGAGCCAATGCAACAACCGTTTTCGTACCTTCTATTGGAACATTTCACCCCCTCTCCGGCACCCCGTCACATTCTCGAAGTTAGTTCTCCGTTTGGACCTGGGTTGCTATCATCTTCCAGCGCAACACGCACTGCTATTCTTCAACAAAACTGTCTTGCACGGCGACAGGGGTGTAATGTAGGCTTGCCTGAACCACGTGCAGGAAAGGGAGGACGAGGTCCGTGGTCCTCCTGGCGACTACGCCGGCCTCCATGGACCACGCCCCCCCCACGATCTCGTGGATGTGGCCGTGGGCGCTGGTCCCCAGGGCCGCCGACAAGGACATCCTGCAAATCCGGCGAGGATAGCCGAAAGATCAACAGAGAAGCTGCTGCTCGTCGGCGACAGAAAAGTACGGGCCCGAATGTATGAAACGTCAACATCAGGTCGAGTCTCAGCTTGTTACTTCGTCGCCACTGTCTGTCGTCGAGAGAGGTTGTTATCGAGAGTTCAGTGTACGGATTCACCGCTCAATCTTGTATCTCAACCCATCTGTTCTATTTTTCGTGAAAAATGTGGGCGTTTGTTCGACAGTATTGTAGTCAACTGAACTGTAACTGCGGGCCCGTACCGTAACGTTTTCGGCGCGAAACAAAGAAACAAATCTCGGTCCCCCCGTTGGGTCTTGGTTTTGGGTGAACCGGCTGACCTTCGTCAAAGGCCGAAAGAGAATAGAAAGTCGGCCGAGGATCTGGTATCATCGACGAGTACGAGGTGTGAGGGAGGCGAGATTGGTCCCGGGCGTCATGACCAGCATACGTATAAATATGTTATCATCCGCGTAACCCCCCTCCCCACCCGGTAGCTCAGTACTCTGCCGAGCACCCCCAAACATGAAGTATCTCTCTCTCTCTCTGTCTCTCAATCTCTCGTCGTCTGTCTCCTCTCACCAGTCATCGTGATCAAGCGCGTCCCTGTACTGCCTGCACCCGGCCGGCTTGCGGTTGTTGTAATACTCGAACAGGCCGTCGTACCGTGTCATGAAGGGCGTCGAGTCGCTGTTCCACACCGATCGGAGCATACCGTAAGCGTTGGTGATTCTCGAGTACTCAGAAGCGTTGGTCATCACCGGGACGAAGCCGAATCGTCCCCTGTCGGGTACGCGAGCCCCCTGCCGCGAGCAGAGAAATAATTGGGGTGGCGGAAAGGGCGTTTTCGGGAAGATGTTTGGGGTGTGCGCACTGGGTTTGGACGCGGGCAGACTTGTAGAGGTGCAGCGTAGTGTGGAACCACGGGGACGGAGGACGAGGGAAGGACGTCCGTGGACAAGGCGTGAAGGCTGCAGGATATCACATGATCGGTCGGACGGGAGACGAAAAACCTCACGATGACGAGGAAAAGAACCGCTCCGGTCAGGAGCACGTTTTCTTCCAGCGCTACACGGACCGTACCCCGGTCCTTGGTTTGCGGTAACATGCGCTTCGGCTTCGGGCCTTCGAAGTCGGCCTCGTAGCTCACCACGAAGACAGGTAGCCTGATTGATGCCTTGTCTTGAGGCGATCAGGTTGGAAGATGCACGCAAAACAGGATACAAGAACAAGAACGTTCCATGGCTCGTACACAGTTCCCCCCAAGAACAATCATACAATTGAACCTTTTTCTTGCGCCCTACATACGTTCTTGAACTGCTGCAGCAGGTTTCGAACAACAACAAGAGACGCAACGTCTGACTTCAAAAGAAAATCCGGTGGCACCCGAACGTAGTCTGCGAAATCTCCCCTCCCTCCCTCGAGAGCGTGCTGTCGCTCACGTTCTCAGGGGTCGTTGTGCCAAACCAGTCGTCCGAAAATACCGAGCTGCTCCTGAAGGTTGGCGAGTCGCCATCCGGAGTGCCCTCCTGTCGAAGCGCGCGGTACGAAATCAAACGTGCGGCGTTGTGAAGAGGTTGCTTTCCACATGCTGAGTCTCAGCATCGAGACGTACGTGGGAGTTGAAACCGGAGAACCCCTAGTCCCCACGCGACTTCTACATCCAACCTCCTCGTGAAATGATGTCAGCTATATATCGGGCCAGGACAGAGCGCAGGCTCCGATGACACGCTGGAACCAAAACGGAAGCTGCAAGTGGCTGCATCGACTGGGCCTTTGTGAGAGTGGCCGCGCCCAACTCCCAGGCCGCCCTCCACCTTTCCCAAGCCTTAATCCTGCAGTCTAGCCTGTTCTGTGACGGTTCGACGCTGTGCGGAACAAGGAGTGATGCAGGAATCTGGCTTGCTTCCGTACCAAACGCCGTAGACATGCTGAACAACCTGAACATGATACCGCGCGTTGCGCCCATCGAAGCGTCCATGCCATGGTCTTTCGGCGGCCTTTAAGCTTCCAAACTCATTTCGTGGACCAGAACGCACGACATTTTATTTAGGTAATGAAACGGAATCGTTTCCTGGATCGTAAGAGCGCTCATACATAACTGCGTACATCTCACCAGTCACAGGAAGCTCCCCGCCCGGTAACTGTACGCTTCTTAGCAAGCACAACTCTACACGGATGAATATTGCAAGCTCGTGCAAGAAGAACCGGCTGTCGAGCCGGGGCGGGGTGGAACACAGTATGCAACTGCACACAGACGTTGACGGGCGACCTGGCCGTGTAAAAAGCCTACCTCCCATGCATTTTCGGATCCCCCACCACCATCTGCACTAAAAGAGATGACCTTGCCCTGTATCGCCGCAAAAGCCAAAGCCAGCCAATAAAATAGCCTGTTGCTGACCGCTCGTAGTCAACAGGACGTGTTGGACGGCTTCTCGCCCTCTGCTCGCTTCGTTCACGTTGGAGTAGTAGCACTCAAGGGAATGTTTTGGGCAATACTCACGATGGTGAAGTCCCAGTAGGGGACGGCAATGGAGGGGTTCACGGACTGGAGGGCTTGCTCGAACATGAGCGTAAACCCCATGTGGGCGTTCATGAACCCAGTCCCCTCGTGCCAGTGGTCGCAGATCTTGTCGCCCCCTACAATACCGGAAACAATACACAATTTTGAGAAGGAGTGTCATTCGCGAAAGAGGTACATAGTCTAGTGCCCCCCAAGCAAGAAAGACTGGAAACTTGCACCGATGCAAGTCTAGGACCTGAGAACAGCCACACACGCCCTGACTCACGAGGCCGACCAAAGTACTGCATCATGCGTTTTCCTCCCTAGCGTTTGTCGGCTTGGGAATGGAGCACAGCTGCAAAATGTGTGGGGGGGGGGGGGGGGGGGCGCACCGGCGAACGCCACAGCGGTACCACTAGGAAAATAGAATCCCGTAACGAGCAAGAGCGGAGGATATGTGGGTAACACCTTGAGCAGCTCAGCGGAGACATGAGGCAATCGTATCGCTTTTGTCAACACATGTAGGAGATGACCCTAACGACTTCAAACAAAATGCCGCCCTCTCCAATAGAAACTCGCCCTCACCGCCGTACAAGTGCATCCGGGTGAAGTAGTCCATGCTGTAGTACTTGTCCCCGTAGATCTCGCGCCCTACGACGCTTGGCACACGCTGCAGCACCGACACCGCGTTGAAGAACGCCTCCCGGTCCCGGTCCGTCAGGTCCCGAATCTCCCGCCGGACGTACTTGACCGTCACCTCGAACTCGTGTCGGCCACCGTCGGGGTACGACGTCACGGTACACTGCCATAGAAAAGTAGCGGCCGAAACAAGGGGAGGAGGGGGGAGAGAGGGGTGGCGGCGTGGAGCAGGTACAGGGGTTCCGTAGTTCTATAAGGGGGCTTGATTTGCATTTGAGCAGTACACAACGGTTTTTTTGTCGATGCATCTCTTGTTGGCAGAGTCGCTCTAAGAGGAGATGCTGTACAAGGACATAGATAGATTCGATTATCGGATTATTTTTCCCCGAGTGAAAAAAAGGAAATTCTTGACACAGGCGAAATTTTTTCTCCCGAAGAAATAACGTTGAACACACTCGAATTTCCTACACCAAAGGTACGTTCTACATGCGCTAATTTGGCGAATATTGCGGAGGGATGTCGAAGGGTTGGCGCTGATAAGATCGCTTTTTTGTGCGCGCAGGGTGCACGAACTCGAGAAAGTTGGGTCAGAGTCTGTGGGGCGGGATAGATAAAGTGTAGACAGAAAATAAGATCGCGTGCGAATGTTCTTGCAATAGAGGCAGTATCCGTGAACCGCAGCTACCCCTATGGGGTATTATTAACGACCAAAAAAACACGGAATATTCCACTAAAGCGTGTTTTCTTGAACATGTATGGAGGCGTTTTCCCCCGAAAACGTGGAAAGAAGGAGCCGGGATTTTTTGGGGCTTGCTACTTTCACCGATCCGTGTTTTTGACAGAAGCATCGGACAAGCGCACCGCGGGCGCTGTAACATCACTGAGAACGCTAGAAAGACCTGCCAGACTCACGTCCAGGTCTGTTGTGGAGATGGACAAGCGGCAGAAGCGGCGTTCAGTCCGTTCTTGGCCCAAAACTAGACATTGCGTGGTGCTCTCGTCTTCAACTGCTGCTGTTGGTGCTGGGGGATTTCTTTCAATCACACATAGCAAACACGGAAACAGTAGAACGAGTACAGCAGCAGCACCAAGACCTCCAATGCGCTGATTCCTTCGGTTCGGCTGTCTACATTGTATGATACCATCTCCCGGCGCCGTGCTGCTTCGTGGGTGTTGGGTGCTTGGGTGCTGCTCAATAAGGTGTGTGAGAGACGTGTGCCACCTCACCAAAATGCCGTTGGAAAAAATGCGGCGAGATGATCTGTTTTTGGTCGGACACATCAAGATCAATCCACGCACCACGCAGCAGTAGAGCAACAGGGCCTCCGATACGCTAATTCGTTCGGATTGGCCATCTATATGATGCTGGCCGTCAGCGCGGCTGCCGCCCTATGATTGTTGAGCTCGTCTACCTTTGGGCAGGTGGTGGTCAAAGATGGGAGTCGCAACCGTGAAAAATGAGCTGGCAAACTGAAGAAATCACAAGCAACACCCAGGTTGCGACACTCTGCCCTGCGCCTGTTGTTGCTGAAAACTGAAAACAGCAGGCCGGGTGGACGGGATCTTTCTAAGTGTGTTGTCCTCTGTGTCGGGTGCTGCTCATTGCGCTTTTACCGCTGCTCTAAGGCGAGCAATACCATGTCAACCTGTTGTGTGTTGTGTGCCGAGCAAAGCGTGTATGCAGGGAAGGAAACATACTTTTCGCGATGACATCACGAATAGAACAAGCGAAAAATAATCGGATCTTCTTCTCACCGTTCCGTGAAAAAATGCGTGAATTTAATACCTTTCATATTTCGTTCCTAGCCCTTTGGAGATACAGCAGTTATTCAGTACCATAAGTTTGTCTGCAACACCACCTATGTACATATTGCAGTAGTGTTCGTGCTACCGAAAGACAACAGTTGCTCTATAGGGTTAGGTTGCCTCTCCTTCTCCTTCTTCTTGCTCTCACCTGGTGGATCCCGACGGTTTCGAAAAATGTCTCGATGGTAACTCCGACGCCGACAAATTCACCGTTTATTTCCCACCTATAAACAGCGAACCAAGTGGGTTGTGTGAGAATCGATCGTACGAACAACCGAGGTGAAAGTGAATCGAGGACGCGACGGTACCCGGCAAGTATCCGGCCGTCTCAATGGAATTCCAAGCACCATCATCACACGCGCGATCTGTTGTCGTTACGTTCAAACTGCTGCAGTAGAAACTGCCACTCAATCAAAGAGAGATGAATGAAGGTGCGTCTTTCACCCCTTTTGACATGCGGGATTGGACAAGCCCTGCAACATGTTGCTACAGGCCAGAGCGGCGAACGAAGTGATCGACATGCTTATTATGTGGACTGCGTTGCTTCACCTGAACTCCTCGCTCTCCACGGCCGGCAACGTTCCTGGCCAGGCTTCAATCTGCAGCGTCGTCGCCCGATACGGCTCCGCGAACCCGTCAGATTTGTTGGGCCGCCTCTCGAGGCTCTCGAGGATGCCCATGCCGGTGCCCTCGTCGTAGGAATTGCACACCTTTACTTTCACGCCGTCTACTACTACTGCTGAAAATCTGGTCTCGCCAGCCGCTGCTTCGGTGTTGGCGCGCGGTGCATCGGCGCCACCATTGCCCAGCGGCGGCAGCACGTGGAGCGAGAATATGGTGACTGCTGCTGCCACAGGAACGAAAACCACAAACCGGTGCCATCTATGACATCTATGACGCCATGTGAGGGCCGGCGGATCCAAACTTGCGTAGCGGTGAGATCTGCCGCCACACAATTGCGAACCGCAAGCCGCCGACGGCATGGTTAGCACCGGAGAAAAACAATCCTTCTCGTTCCCGAGGGGCAGGTGCAGCAAATAGAGGTGCGTGGTATGTGCCGTGATCGCTTCCACGGGGTTCCCAAGTTTTCACACCTTCCGCTTCTGTCACCAAATTGAGGGAGGAGTGCCGTGCCCGCCTGTAGAGCAGGATGTGTCATGAGCCCGACGGGAAGAGACGAAAAAAAAATAGCCTTCGATAAAGTATGCATATATCTAGCATATATGCATATTTACATATTTGCATTTGCGGAGTGGAAATTAAGGAATAATAAAAACACACACAGAAAGACTACCCATTCGAGATATACCCACAGTCGAACGGGATGTGGTGGAGTCTTTTCAGTGAGTGGAGGAAAACCATGAGTCTCGTATCAGGCACCGACCCAATACCAAATCGGGATTTGAAAAAGGGAAATGGAAAAAAGTGGGTATACCCACGCCATTCTCGGACAAACGTGGGTACTCGCAAATCCAGCGCGCGCGCCCTCCATGGGCGACCCCCAAACGACTCAAAACCCCATTCTGACACCTGGGCGACACAGCCAGGGACCATACATACACAGCACGGGCATCGATTTTTTCCCACTTTCAGGCACACCTACCTTTGGCCCTAATACCGCCGAGGCGCGCAAGGCCTCACCAGAGTGCCCACTTCTGTCCTACATCGCGGTTGGTAACCCAGCGGCGTCCACCATGTTTTTCATGTACCCATTTGTGTCTATATTTTGACCCACTTTTGTCCAAATTCTACCCACACTTGTCCAACTTGTCCACTTATATTACGGACAGCGGAAATCGAGCGGAAATCGACCTCCACGTCACCGCACGGCAGAATATCGAATAGCCTCGGAACGTCTCAGAACCTACCAACAACGCCGTATCCATGGCATCATGTCATCATCTATATACATACAAGGTCTCCAGGCTCGGGCGCCAGGCGCCCTCGCCTTCAGCTCAGATTATGCTGAAAGGAAGGGTGGTGGGTGTGAAGACTGTGCACAGCATACCACAAGGGCACGAAGCTGGAAAAGACATTCACCTGTATATATATGGTACTGTAATGTAGTAGTGTAGAGGCTACAACAGCACCTACCTTCAATACCACAACGTGTCGTTGGCAGTATTACACAAGAAGACAAAAACAAACTTACTTGCAGTTCACGCTGTGTGCACGCAATGCATGACATGTATGTATATAGGCGATCTGTAGACATCTCAGGCAACAAAGCTAGCTGTGACTATTTTCAAAGGTCGAACAGCTGATTCGCATTCGTTCGGGAGGCAGACTGCCCAAAAGGTCGAAAAAGTACGCATGCATTTAATTTGTCCAAAGAAAGGAAGATAAAGATTTGGAAACCAAACATACATGGGTCTATAATAAGACTATGTATTATTATGCAGAACAACAAAGAATTCCACGAAAAGGTCACGCTTTCACTCTCTCTACCGACTAACTTCTGACTAACTTCCAGGATATTCCACTAAATAAATAAATGCTTGTGGTATCCACGAAATGTGCATATGGTATGAAGACTAAAACTTGCCTACTGTTCACCTGTGAAAGACAGGCAGGGGTATTATGTACTTGTAGTGGCACACCGCACAACAAACAATCGTGCGTAAACTCTCTACCGTTCACCTGTATACGGTAGAAGAGTGTAAATAGGCTACACGGCAGCATCTTCAACACTACTGTACAGCGTCGTTGACAGTATTATTACAGAAGACAAACAATGACGTGGAATCGGCCGGCGGTGGCCTATCGCGCGTAGATATGTGTGTTGATGTGCCCGTGGGGTCGTGTGTGTGCGCGTCTCGAAGATGCGTGCGATCAAAGTAAGTAAGTGTGTTTCTTAGGCCTTCGTGGGCCGAGAACAGCAGACAGAGCAGGGGAATTGAACACTAAAATGGGGGGCACGCGACATCTATCGCTGACGCGAGCTAATTGCGCCGCTTCACCTGTATCTATCCAATTGCGCCGCTTCACTTTCTCTCCAACTCTCTCTCTCTCTATCTCCTTCTCTCAACTAACTGCAATATTCCCTTATTATATGCTCACCCTTCCAATCATAAACCAACACTTTCTTTCTCAATTCTAGTCTCCACCTCATACACTTTTAATGACCTTATTTGACGATATCTCAACCAGAACTAATTCCAACCCTGCTCCCAGAGCCATCATTCTCAAGTCCATTCCATCACGCCTCGACATATATACTGCAATTAAACTACCCCAAGTGACTAAAACTAGGGTTGACTTATTGCACGACAACAAACTAAGTACTTGTAGTTTTCCGTCAGATGTGCATGCGTTCGAGAACTCAAAGCACAAGCCAGCTTTGGAGTAACCCTGTTTAATTCCTTCCTACAGCAGCAGCAGTAGACCTGTACAGTTAGCGCCCGCAATTAAGAAATATGTTGTTAAGAAATTGAGGCTCACTTTTTCACGAAAAATAAGAAAATAGGCTTAAGAAACATAGCTCAATCAATCTGGGCCACACAGTAAGAAATGTCTCAATAAGAAACACAGCAGCGACTGCTGCCCTACTACATAAGAAACGAGGGGTTACGGGGGAGTGTGTCGAATAAGAAACAAACCCCACAACTCTCTCGTTCTTTCCCCCTCTCCCCCTAACCCCCCCCCCTCCCATAGTGCATTATTATTAGTTGTACGCCGAGGGGGGAGTGTTTTTTTTTTGCGGCGCCCCCTCCGGCCCCCTGCGGGCTCTGCGCTCTGCCTTGCTGGCGCTAAAGCTCTGATTTTCGTTGTTGGCTGTCAGCGTGCGGGTGAGGCATCATGCGGTGTTCATGCATTTGTTTAGTTTACACCGTACGAATAAGCCGACGACGCCAAGTGTAGGGGAATGCACGCGTGATGAAGTCTGGTTGACCCGTGAAGAAGAAGAACTCACTTGTTGTTACTCTTGTAGAACAGCAGCAGCAGTAGCTGTTGCCTTGGGTATCGGTAGGAATGACACCAAGGGGCACAGGATCCTCTGCACAAGCAGGGGCTACTAGATCCTGTCCCCTGCTTTTTATCCTTCCGCGGAGAGTTACATCTCTCCGCGCCTTCTAGAAGGAACCAAGCTCTTCTATGTTCCGTCTACACATCTGAATCCTATAACATTCAGCCCTCACTCATGAGGGGGGTACAAGACCTTGTAGCGATAGCAAGACGTTGCCGTTGAATACATTTCGCTTCTAGGGAGTGGCCTTACGTGCAGCCGTCGGTAGTGAGAATCGGGGTTGAGTACGGGAGGCGAGGAAAGCAGAGAAATAAGAAATTGCCGATTTAAGAAATTCAGCAGGATTTGGCTGCACGACAAAATAAGAAACATGATATACATATTGTATAAGAAACTGAACGACATACGCTGAGTTTATAGCCCACAATAGGAATTCGAGGCTGGACCTGAAATAAGCGTTTCTTAATTGCGGGCGCTAACTGTACTTACCACTTGGCGGGTGTGTGTGTAGTTCAGGCATATACATATATACATACGTTGCCGTGTGCATGTACGTACGTGAAGATACACGATGCACGTGAGGACTTCGAAGTAATTACTTCAGTTAGCGTTGCTTACGCTAGACTTAGAGAATCAGTTAGCGTTGCTTACGCTAGACTTAGAGAAGGTGACGACGGCAGTCTGTCGATATCTAGTTGACACCACGCGGCACAACTACAATAGAATCCATCCGCCGTCGGTGCTACATGTAACAACAACGTGCGTGCGTGGTGGTCGGTCATGGTTATTTATTAGTTGACGTTCTTCCAAATCTCGTCCAATGAGCTTCGTAATTCTTTTGGCAGACAGTCCCTACCGTAGACGCGCCCGGATGCAGGAGATTTAGTCGTACTTCACGGTGCTGTCACTCGGCTCGCCCTTGGAGTCTAGAGCTCGCGACAGGGGCGCTGTGATCGTGAGAAGAGTGGCACGCCCACGTCGGCGAAGACGGCCGAAACAAATGTTTAAACCCCATTTATTTATAAACAATTAATACCGATTTACTGCACCACAACGTCTAGCTCAATGACTGAAATAGTGGTTGCGTGCATTCACCGTGCTGTAACTCTACTCGCCTTTGGAGTTTCGAGCTCGCGACAGGGGCTCTGTGATCCAGAGACTGGCCCGCTGCAGCGGGCAGCAGCCGGCGAAAAAAAAAGTCTCAAGGCGACCGCGAACTGATGCACCGAAATAAAACGTCTTGCTTTTAGAGTGCAACAATGGTTGAACTCTTGCGTCTCAGGCCTCCGACATAATTGTAGTTAAGTCTATAC